TCAGCCTCCCAAGTAGCTGACACTACAGGCAGGAGCCACCATGTCCAGCATTTTTTTTTTTTTTTTTTTGTAGAGATGAGGTTTCCCTATGTTGCCTAGGCTGGTCTTGAACTCCTGGGCTCAAGTAATCCTCCTGCTTCCGCCTCACAAAGTGCTGGGATTACAGGTGTGGGCCACTGCACCCAGCCCATATAACTTTTTAAACACTTGGAACAAGAAATTAAAAATGCAGTGTAAGAACATATTTTGTTGCAAAGAAGCATAATAGGTGGCTCAATAAAAGATTTCCAAGAACAAAAAAAAAAATTATATTAGGATGCAACCAGGGTTGAGAACTCAAAAAAAAAAAAGAAAAAAAAAAAAGAAAAATTCTGCAGGGAGGGGGAGAATAAAAATATGGATTCAAAGGGGGAAAAAAAAGAGCAATGTAAAATTTCCAACCATTAAGAGGTTGTTTATATATTTTTAAAATTAATGATAATGGGTGTCAAAACATTATGATATTTAGATTGAATTGAACATATGAGTGACTAACAGTTTTACTGTAAAGTGTTAATATGGAGAATATGTTGGAAATCATATTTTTTTGCAACTATCTGGACACATGTTGACAATTTTAGGTCTATCTAAGTCTATGGGAAGAGGCATATGACATTTCACAATCCTTGTAGGAGAGATGTGAAGGGAAGACCTGAGCTATTCTTCCTCCTTCTTGTGTTACCCCAATAGGAAAACAGACTTATAACTGGAGAAGAGAAGCTAGGTGTCAGCAGAGACATGATGGAGTGGACATTTCTTTCAGTCCTTTACCAGGAATTCCTCTCAAACTGAGGAGGAAAATACTAAGGGAGAGACACAGTAGTCTTGAAGCCCATGGCATTCTTGAAGACCCACCTCACACCCCAAATTACCAAACCCCAAAGCTCTCTTCAGCTCAGCAGGTGTCCTTTAATTTTCAGCAACTCTTCCCCATAGCAGAACCACCAATTTTTCTTTTCCCTCATAATTTGAACCCCTCCCCCTAATTTATTTGAAGATGAAGATATTACCTTCTTTCACTACCAGTGAAAATACAATGACTTGAGAAGAGAAAATGATCTGTGTGAAGCCAGGGCAGAAGCAGAAGTTGTGGGCCCTCGAATAAACCATTAGTCTTATACTTGAAGCAGGATAAATAAATGCCAAACCCAAGGCAGAAACTAGAAACATGGAGGAAAAGAGGCATAAATGCCTCACATTAGATAATTACATTCCAAGAAATCTTTCTTGCAACAGTTACTTTCCTACAATGACCAACTTCCTCTGACTCCAAATTTACTCCTTAGGTACACTTGGCTTAGATATTCCTTTGACTATCCAATCATACCACTGTATACTACAATTTACACATGCATACACGCTCACCTAAAGAGTTTTTTTTTTTTTAAATCGAGTCTGGGACCTGGTTTCCCTCCATTAAATAACTGATGAAAAATTTAGTAAATCTACGGAGAGAGTTTAGTAAGTGTAAGAAGACTTTGCTCACTGTGTGTGATATTCCAATAGATTCATGTGTTCTACACACAGGGATCTCTTGGATATAAGGGAAGCATTTCTCAGATGTCTGGGTGTGTTTCTGGTCACTATCCAGGTTCCTGGCTCAGCTTCCCAGGTCTCTATGAATAAGCAGAGGGCATCCACATCCAGACCAGGCTCCTGGGGCTCAGACCATAGGGGCTGGGCATCCCTGGTAGACCTCACATTGGGCACTGAGACTCCTGAAAAACTTGTGCTGTTAATTTTGCAGTTCTCTATCTTGACTGCTTCTCAGACTGACCACCAGTTGGTGAGTTTTCATCAGCCTTCTGCCTCTTCTCCTCTGACCCAAGCAGCAGCAGGGACTCACTTGCATGCACTGGTCTTGTAGGCAGTAACTTTTAAGCCACATCCTCTGTCGACCAGGCTAAACTTGCCTGCCTGAGAGGCATACTCCTTCCATCCTCTGTCGTACATCTGTGAGCTACCAACTCTGGCCCTAGTGTGACACTGCCAGAATGTTGTGTACCTCATCTATTTAGAGTGGGAAACCCATGAGGCAAACTGTAGAGGCCCCGTATCCTCACTCCCTTTCTGCTCAGTTTTTTCACCTATATTATCTCAACTTCACTCTACTAACCAGAGTACCAAGGAAAGGTAGGCTAGCAATTATGTCCATGATGACTATAGAGAAGTGGAGAGGAGACGACTTATGATCTTCTTTGTGCTGGATTCTCTACTGAAGGCATCTGATGGCTTCTGATTTCCCTGGTCTGAGAAGAAAGTCCCTATCCACCTCTCCCTCCTTACTCTACCTCAGGCTGAGGGGCTCAGGCAACCTTTCATGTTGCATATGGCATAGGTATGTCTGCCTCACTCCAGAAGGGACCAGCCAATAGCCACCTACTTCTAAGGTCTAGTGCCCACAGACCTGGTGTTCATACATTTAAGTTCTGGATTTAGGTCTCCTTTCCTGTAGCCAGGTGATCAGTGACAGGCAAAAATCAAGATCCCAGACTTCCGGAGTAACCTCATCAAGATTGAGGTAACAGCTCACATAGCTAGTGCATAGACAGATGCAGGTTACATGGAGTCTGAATCTTGTACACATTTGGAGGCTCCCTTTGGGACTGCTGGGAAGCATGAAACATGGGATTTCACTCACCGTTGTGCTCACTATGTGTGATATTCCTATAGATTTATGTCTTCTACACACAGGGATTTTTGATCATTCTGAATTCTTGATTCCCATAAAAAATGAATACATAGTCATCATAGCATATGCTGCATTACTGAATATATATTTATGAGAGTCTCCAACACATCTTTACACGTCTGAGGAGTGGAAGAATTTCCCACAGATTAGCTTCTTGTTCCCCACATTTCAAACCTCATTTCTCTTCCACCTCTGGCACTGGGTGTGGTACGGCTCCTTAGTGCTCCATGCCAGAAGAAGTGGCACAGGGGTAAAGTTATTTCTGGTGGGGGGAGGGGGATTTGGAGAAAAAAAAGAAAGAAGATTGCCGGGGAGTATACAGGGAGGGTTAGGAGAAATTCTGGAGATATGGTTCACTCAATGGAGGCACATATAACCAAGCTGAGAAACGACATAGTACACAACAGAGTCGGGAGATGTGAAACCCAGACATCAATCTTCACCTGGGCATAGAGGAAATACTCAGATTTCCAAGCAGGTTCTAGGTTCAGAGGAGAGCGCGCTTGGTTGGAGGCGCTGGTCTTGCAGGATGGGGTGGGGGCGTTAATGCAAACTTCTGGTCCAGCAGAGGTAGAAACAGACCAGATGTAAGTAGCAGCTCAGAGGCAGAGGACTTGAGGGATGAAGACGTGAGGCCCAGAGGGTGGTGACTGGCAGAGAAAACAGCTGCCGGACACCAAGGCCACCTCGGGTTAAAGGGAACAAGTTGTACCCAAAAAAACACGGTGAAAATAGGAAGAATAAGAATATTACCTGGAATGTTCTCCTAAGACCCTCCCCAAGAACCTGGATTCTTTAACAATCCCTCCAGAGCAGGGACACTCAGAATACATACATAGAGCAGGGACACTCAGAATACATACATCTCCCACAAAGTAAAGTGTCTGAAGGCCTGGGCAGACCCTTCTTCCTCCCCTTCTCTCTCCTCCGTCGGCCGGCCCGGAGGAGGGTCAGGGATGAGAACTACTCCCACTGCTGTCCCCCACCTCACCCCAACGAGAGAGGAATCTAGAGGTCTGTATCCCTCCTTCACCACCCCGCCTGAGCGCCTTCTGGAAAACACAACCACCGTCCCAAATCTCACCCAGCAACTGCATCCAAGCGCTTTCTCCAAGTGTTCGCGGAGCCGCCGGAACTCTTCCAGGCAGGCGTTCCCGGACTCTGTACAGTAGGCACCCCGCCCTTGGGGTTTTGAGCGGCAGTGTCTGCCTCTGTCCAAGTATCCAGCCTCAGGTGCAGACCTTTCAGGGCCGGCGGCGGGAGGCGCAGACAGGGAGGACCCCCTCAGGCGTACTGCAGCCCGGGCTGCCGCGCCAGAGAGTTTGCATCCTTGGGAACCGGGGACGTGCCTGGGCGCTCCAGCCCCGCGCGCCTCAGACGCTGAGGCTATGATTGGCCTGGCTGAACGTCAATCAGGGCTCGGCGCCGTGGAGGCGGGACGAACGCCGTGGGCCGAGCCTGCTTAACTCCCTGCCGGGTTATTCTCTGCCACTTCTAAGGTAGGCAAATGCCTCCGAGTCCCTTAGGGGGGTCCCCCCGGCGGCCTGAGATGCTCCGCGCCAGGTCGTCGCGCCCTTGCGCTGGCTGAAGTAGGAATTGGCTCTGGAGAGTCTGCGTTGTTCCTGGTCCCAGGGCCGTGATCCCGATACTGCGCTTCCCGCTCCTCCAGTCGCAGCCCCCAGGCTCCGTCTTCTCCTGCGTGGCGCTGGAGAAACACCCGAAAGAGAGAGTCCTAGAATGTCTGCTGTGGCCCTGCGACCTGACTGCCACCTTCCAGGACTCTAGCCCTGGCTCCTTCTAACCTTCCCGCCCCTCAGTGCCCCAGGGAGGCTGCTGTGCCAACAATTATTCATCAGCCGGAAGAAAAGGAGGTGCCAGTGTTAGGCGCAGAAGAGGGTTGGACCAGAAAAGCTGGAGAGGGGCAAGAAAGGAAAGAGGGGGAAGAGGGAAGGCGGAAAAAGTGGGGAGGGGTAACAGCTCGAGCTTTTCCTCTAGGGTAGTTTGTCTTCTCTCGGTCTCGCCTCCTCTGCTTCTTGCCTCAGTTCCCCACTCCCACCCGTGCACCTCTGCGGCAGGCGTGTGAAAGAAGTGGGAGGGGGGGGCTTTTGGTCGGGGTATCTGGTCCTCCAGACCCCACAGCCTTGGCTGAGAACTTACTTAAGCCCACTCCAACTGACTTGATAAATAAGAATCTTGAGCAGTCCATTGGTAGGTAGAAATGAGGGACATCATCTGTCCCTGAACAGAATAACCCGAAATCGCAGGTCCCATGGATGTGGGAATCCACAGCACTGACTGCGCTCCTAAGGCTCGTAAGTCCACTTCTGAACCTCATCTAAGACCCTGAAAGCCAGACTAGGGATACATTTTATTATTATTATTACTATTTTTTATTTGAGACAGGGTCTCCCTCTGTCGCCCAGGCTGGAGTGCAGTCGTGTGATCTCGGCTCACTGCAACCTCCGCCTCCCGGGTTCAAGCGGTTTTCGTGCCTCGGCCTCCCAAGGAGCTGGATCTACAGGTGCGCACCACCACACCTGGATAATTTCTGTATTTTTAGTAGAGACAGGGTTTCACCATGTTTGCATAGCTTGTCTCGAACTGTTGACCTCAAGTTATCCTCCCGCCTCTGCCTCCTAAAGTGCTGGGATTACAGGCCTGAGCCTCCTCGCCCGTCTTATATGTTGGATCTTTTCCCAGACCTCCTCCTCAGATGTGGACCGTACAGATGATGCTCCATCGGTTACTCTGATCCTGGCTTTGGGACTGCCAGATAAAACTGGGAGAAACCCTACATTTACTCTTACTGTAACGTATTGGCTTGGAACTGCAGGTCAGAATCCATTTATGTTGAGATCAAAAGACTTTTTTTTTCCAAGTAGAATGAAATAGAATAAAATAGGATTGAAAATACTTGCCTGCATCACAGGTAATGAGAGTAACTATAGTTTCATGAAACTTTTGTTTCAGTTAAATATGTTTTTGCATGTGTTCATGTGTACTGGGAGGAGATATATATTCCATGTATATATGTAGAGAGGTGGAAATCAACAACAAAACTCCATAATTGTTCTTATTTTCTAATAGTTCTTGATTTTGAGTAAAAAGAATTAAGAACAAAACGTTGAGCCAGCTAAAGAAAGATCAGAGTCAAGCAGGCTCTCATTGGGGCCTAAATAGAGGTTCATCTTATTTGGCCTTTTTTTTTTTTTTTTCCATCTCGTGGGCTCTTTTTAAGGCCCAGCAAGGAATTACCCTCCCCTGACTCTCTCTGCTTGGTTCAGCCATTCAGCCGTCTCTCAGGCTCTTTGATTAATAAAATGTCCAGCAGAGCTATTTTATCCTATGCATGTATGGGAAGAGAGCAATGCCAGTGATTCTTTTCTGATTTGATAGAAAATTCACAAATCACGTTATCTTTTGAAGCTTGAGATTTTAAACTCAAACATTATCACCAGAGAACTAAATTATTAAGAAAGATGAGTGGTCAAAAGTATAGATGTCTTACAGGTTAGGGGTCATTTTGTCAGGTCCTGTCCAAAATATCTGAAGTCTAGGGGTTTGAAAAATTGTTAGAAATAACCATTTATGACAACAGTTTTCATTTATTGTTCTCCCCAGCTTCAGGAGAAGGCGAGAACATTTTTTTCCTTCTTGCTGAGAATTTTTTCACCAGGGTTTCAAGGCTAAGAACTGAAATTCCAGCATTGACATTGAATTAAAAAGAAGCAAGCCCTTTTAGGAAGTCAAATTTTATTATATGAGATGGAATATAATATTGAGATTACTTATTACTTAGGCATGGTATGGGGGGGCTTTTAACAACAGATCAAAAAAAAGTTGAAAGGATAGGAGTGAAATAAAGCAAACTTTCATTATTCAGAGATGATACAATTGTCTACAGAGAAAAATAATCTAAAACATAAGAATTAAGAGTTTGGCACAGTTGGCTAAATATAT